GACGTTTATTTGTACGAACTATTATATATCTCTGTTTGTAGGCTGTTTATTAAAAAACACAGCACAAGGTCTTGAAAAAAAAACAAGAATGAGACTGATTGAATATGTAAAAAATAAAATAAAAATAAACAAACGAAACAGAATAGAACAAACTTTTAGAACAAAAAAAATAAATAATAAAAATAATTGAGCCTATAACAGATTCGGTTAAATTTAAGAAAGCAAAACGTAATTAAGTAAAAGTACATTCTAAACAGAATATAACAAACTTTTAGAGCAGAACATTTTAGGCTATTAATCAAAAGTTAAAATAGGCCTATCTCGCAGTCAGTGAAAATAAATTAGGTGCAATGTCGCTAAACTATTGAGGAATGAGAGGAGTGAAGAGCGCTTCTCTCGTGTGCGCGCACACTGACTGCTGAACAACCGAACTTCTGGGTAATTCTCAGTGAGAAAAGTCGTGGTCGAGTGGTAGAAATTAGGTTACAATCATTTAGATGACACGGGTTCAAATCCCGAATAAATACGGTATTTATAAAATACAATTTCCGTTTTACACAAATGAACAAATAGGCTATCATCCAACAGATTGACTGAATTTATATCAATCTGTATAATAATTCCAATCGTAATTTCAAAAGAAGTTCTGTTAAAAAAATAGAAAAAAAAACTTCATGGGATTTTATAGGCTAGTGGCTACAGAAAGAGGTTGTGTAACCGTGCGATTTGCTGGTGGGGGATTTCCCCCCTCCACACAGTAATCAAAGCCTAATTCACCAATAGACCATTTCAAATATTTTTTAAATATGCAACACGCACGTTTAAACAACAAACAATACAATCTGAACCGGCGCTTCTGCTCCTGTATTGAGAGATAACATGCAGCGCGTTTCAGTTACGACCCTGGTCCTAGTGGCCTTGGCTGAATACATTCACATCTTTTCAAAATGTCACAAAGCGTTTTGAGATGGTTTTGAACGAAATATTGAAGTTTATAATTAAGTGTTTTGGCACAGAGAGTGGCGCTACGCCTTATTCTAAAATCGGGTTTTATTCTGGCGTGTTGGATTAGGCCTAGAGGTCGACAAACGCGGCGGCGCTTACACTTGAATTTATTTTTTCTCATAACAGCTAAAAGAACTTAAAAGGCTCTTCTACTCCGTAATTTTCGGTCATACAGATAAAATATCATCTTTTAAAACTGTAAAAGGTCTACAATAGGCTAACGATAAAACGTTTTCTCGCTAATGTGACCGAACACACTGGACAAACAAACGTTTGGGCATTGCAGTGAGTAAATTCATGGCCGAGTGGTAGAACTTACGGTTCGATCATTAAGATGACACGGGTTCAAATCTCGAACAAACTTGGACTTTTGTAAATTTTATATTAGCCTATTAATGCATTTTATATCCTATTATTAATGCAGAGAAATTTGTCTAGTTCTAAAACTCTTATATTTATAAAATAAAATTCCATGCATTTCCATTTTACACTGGAACAAATAGTATCCACCAGAATGACTTTACATCTGTATAATAATACCAGTCGTCATTTCAAAAGCAGTTCTGTAAAAAAAAAATATATATATATATATATATATATATATATATATATATAGCCTACTATAGGCCCTATATATATTTTGGATTCCCTACATGGAGTTTTAAAACATGGTTTTAAGCAAGGTTTGCCAGGGGGGACGGGGATTTCCTTCTGGTCTAAACATGCTTCTGCTGAATTATTTTAATCCCCACACCGCCTCCCTCCTCAGTAATCAATGCTATAGGCTACTTCACCAATAGACCATAACAAATATATCAAATAAAGAAGTGACACACCAAGTGTCGCTGTAAATTGTTCTAAAATCGGGTTTCTGACGTGTTGAATTAGTGTTCGACAAACGCGTCGGCGCTTTCACTTGGATTTATTTTTCTCATAACAGCTAAAATAAGTTAATAGGCTACTCCGTATTTTTGCCTACTAAATCGTTCAAAACTGTAAAGTTGTATTCATATTAGGCTAACAACAAAAATGTAGTTGTCGTCTCGTCTCTGTCTCCGGGAATTGCGCGTCACAAAAATGAACCGAAAGCCACTTGCCTCAGCTCAGTCACGATAAGAAATCGCTATAGGCTATCTAAAGCATTTAAATGTCTAAATATTTAATAAATGTTTTCTGATTATGTACTCCATCTGAAACTGAGAGGTACAGAGCATCTACTTAAACATGTTTAGCTATGATGTGAGCCCTTCCCAATGAGGAAAGGACAAGACGGGGAAAATCTCGCTCTAATTAAATGTAGGCTAAATCGCCCTGAATTAAAATGTAAAAACAGATCAAATAATTTCTTTGTCGAAATGTTGCGATATTGTTTCATGTAAGTTCATAATTATTCTATAAATGTTATTTAGTTTAACAGCAGGACCACGAAGCACTGTGGTTCGAGATTTATTTGAATAAAAAAGAAAAAGAAAAACTTATTGAAATTGAACGAATTATTGAAATGATATATTTAGTAATAAAGTTTCATGACAGAAATATCACTACATGTAGCTTACATTATTTAATTCCTTCATTATCAACACTTTATAGAGCGGTTTAAGTGTGAATTGCGACTTCTCTAAGTCAGTCTCAGAGCCTGTGGGGGGTTTGGAGGGACAGTGGTCGCAGTTATCGTGCGCGCAGGACAAAAGGTGTTAACGTTCCTCTTTCATATGGAGATGTCGGATAGTCTGATGAGCAGGCAAAGGCTAAACTCTTTTAAGGATAAATCTCTCGATGTGTCCAAGGCCCTATATCTTATTAAATTATAAATAGGCCTATTGTAGTTTATTTTTTTTGTATTTAAAGTTTTTTCACACAAAATTTATATTAAAGTGTTCAATCCAGTTGTTTCTTCTGGTTTTGTAGAGTTTTAGAATGTTTGAGCAGTGTGTAGGCTGGCTATGCATGATTGTCAACAATCTGGCATTATCTAAACATGAACTGTCGACGAAACGCGTTCATGCCACAGCAGATACAGAGCTCATAATTCGCGATCAACCTCGTTTTATTGTAAGGTGAATTCAACAAGGCATGCTGTGTCTTTGAAGTAACAAAGGCTAAATAATTTGTTACAGTTTTTTTTTTTTTTTTTGGAGGGAGGGAGACAAAATTAACTTGCCAAAAAGAGATCCAGTGCGAGAGGCAAAGAAAAACGCATGTTCTTAATGTAGCCTATGTCGTTTAGGACTATTATCGTTTAGTACTGTTTTAATTGTTTAATTTAGCTGCAATTTCTTTGGCAATACAGATTTAAAATGTTGCAAGAATAAGATTCTGTGTTTCTTATTTTGGATCGCAAAGGAAATAAACTCTGAAATCAATGCAACCCTGTTTAAATGAATAAACTGTCCCGACACTTTATTTAAACCTTGAAATGTGCGATGGGGTTTCAAACTTAATTAATTTTAGTGTTTTACATTTTCATTTGTTTTTATATTGAAAGCAATAGGCTATTTAGTTAGTCTGTCATTTTGTGCCAATTACAAAATCAGTCTTTTCTGATTTGTTCAATGTATGGATCTGTTTTGAAAAATTTCTTCCGTTGCTATGGCCGGGTATCAGTGTCATCTCAATTTCATGAATGATTCACAAAACAATAATTTGGCAGATTAAAGACGAGCTTCATTATTTTCATTTTCTGACGCGATCAGCTAATCTTCCCTCATCAGCTTTGTCGTGCAGCGGCTCTACTGGAATGTAGCAAATTCATGTTGTAATGTGCCATTAATAATATTAAACAAAACGGTTGACTTTAAATAAATAAACAGTTAATGAACTCGCTAATAAACAATTACCTATTTAAGCATCAAGAACGGTAACACATAAACGAAGTCGGCCATCTAGGCTATAGTGAGATTCGATCTCGGATCGCTTGAAGCTCCGTGAGGTTTATGTTGTTGCGTTAACCACTGAGCTACCGTCTGAATGGTAATAAACTTCGTCTTATGCTAAACCCTCATTTGGTGTAGCCTAATATGTTTCTGTTTCAATGTTTTATGTTGAAATGTTTTCACTATTTATTCAATTTAATTTCAGTATTGTGATTATGAATTCGTTTCTACAATGTTTCACTTGAATTAATCTGTTACCAGCTTTTAATCGCTCTGAATGAGCCGCGGCGCGGCGGTAGATTACGCAATAGAGAGAATAAACTGACACTTTTCAAAGTCTGTGAGTGTAGCGCCTCTTAGCGGTAAAAGGCAGCAAATACACACCCGAATTTTACCGCCGCGGCAGCGGCGGCGGTAAAAGTATTATTCTGGTTGAGTAACCACTGTATAATGTCGTGATTACTATTTCAGATTGCTTGCTATGCCTGTATCACTCATTGTTTTTCTATCACCAAACCAGTAACTGCTATTTAAATAATTAGTTCACCTCAAAATGAACATTTCCGAATAATTTACAAGATATCCATGTCTTTCTTTCCTTCCTCAATGAAAGAGGAATTACATTTTTGCAGGAAAACATTTCTGGATTTTTCTTTGAATAATGGACTTCCAGAAGTCCAACAATTGTAGTTAAAAAGTATATAAATTATCATTTTGTTTCAGGAAATGACTGATCATTTCGCTAGATAAGACCCTAATCCTCAGCTGGGAACCTGTATAGTCTGTTGAAGTACTTCAAAGACCTTTGAAACTGCATTCATTTGGACTTCAAAACGTTGTTTACAATTGAAGCCCATTATCCAAAGAAAAATCAAGAAATGTTTTCCTCAAACTTAATTTCTCTTCCACTGAGAAAAGAAAGACATGGATATCTTGGATGGCATTAGGGTGAGTAAATTATTAGGAAATTTTCATTTTGAGGTGAACTAATCCTTTAATGCACTGCTTCGAAGATATGTATGCTCCCTGCCCTGTTTTTACAATAATTTATGTGGAAAAAATCTTTTATAGAATGTATTGCTTTGAAATATAATTTTTGTGATGACTCCTGTCTTTACTAAGGAGAGACTGCAAAAAAATGGATGCTGTCGATCAAGGGGAGGGTCGTAACCCCACCTGGTGCTCACATGGTTGCCTTGGCCGCCCTCTTCGCCTGTTACAATGTATTCAACCTAGAGTATTAGGTGGAAGCCAGCACAACACTAGAGTTTGATCAGAGGTATTTTTATCTTAAATAGTATGATTGCAATGTAAAAGCAAATTGACAATTGAAAAGCTGTTCAAAATCATCTTCTCCCTTTAAAATGTTATGTAATAGGGCTGGGCGATATGGCTGAAAACTGTATCACGAAATAAGTGTTTCATATTGGTTGGTATCGACAATTATTTATATTTTTATGACCTATTTAAAACAAGGACCAGGAGAAAAATATATTACATTTAAACATTTTTATTTTAAACCTAAAGGATTAGTTCACCTCAAAATGTAAATTTCCTTATAATTTACTCACCCCAATGCCATCCAAGATATCCATCTCTTTCTTTCTTCAGTGGAAAATAATTTAAAGGAGAACTCTGGCGTAAAATGAACCATTGGTCTAATAACACATTGGTACCTAGTCAACCGTTCTCTGATATTTGTTTTCATGATAATCGAATGTAAAGAGTTTTATCTCTAAAAACTGTTTAGATTATAACGCTAGTATATGGGGGCAAATAATAAGTAAAAACTATCGCTAGTTAATACCTGTCACAGTCCTCGTCTGCACCAGTCTGTCTTTGTGTCTGCACTACACTTCCCAGAATCCTCCTCGTCTCCACACCTGTATTCACTCCCTCACTTACCAGCCTGTCCCTCGTTATCATCATCAGTGTCACCTGTTTTCACCTTGTTATGTTTGATTCATGCTTGTATTTAGTTTGCTTCTGTTCAGTCTGTCCTTGTCGGTCGTTGTAGATGTTTTGGTGTTGCGTGAGTTATACTGCCTGTTTGTACCTGCCTGAAGTTTTATTTGTTAGTAAAAGTATTTGCATTGGAGCTCTTGCCTTTTGTCTTCTTCTGCTTGCTCCGCACCGTGACAGAACGACCGACCAAACAAAAGATGGACTCGGCGGGCCATACCCTAACAGACTACCTCATCAGGATCCTGTTTGAGAGAGGTCTCCGCATCACCATCACCCCAGTGATGCCTCCAACCATCTTCGCCACGCCGTCCATTTTCACCCCGGATCCAGCAGAGCCCGCTGATCCTGCGCCAGAGCCCGCTGATCCTGCGCCAGAGCCCGCTGATCCTGCGCCAGAGCCCGCTGATCCTGCGCCAGAGACGATTCACGTCCAGCCTGCCCAGCCAGAGACGGTTCACGTCCAGCCTGCCCAGCCAGAGACGGTTCACGTCATGCCTGCCCAGCCTGAGATGATTCATGTCATGCCTGCCCAGCCTGAGATGATTCATGTCATGCCTGCCCAGCCTGAGATGATTCATGTCATGCCTGCCCAGCCTGAGACAGATCCGTCCTGCATCAAGCCTTCGCCGCTGGTCCCGTTCAGCCCAGAGCTTCCTTCGCCGCTGGTCCCGTCCAGCCCTGAGCTTCCTTCGCCGCTGGTTCCGTCCAGCCCAGAGACCCCTTCGCCGCTGGTTCCGTCCAGCCCAGAGACCCCTTCGCCGCTGGTTCCGTCCAGCCCAGAGACCCCTTCGCCGCTGGTTCCGTCCAGCCCAGAGACCCCTTCGCCGCTGGTTCCGTCCAGCCCAGAGACCCCTTCGCCGCTGGTTCCGTCCAGCCCAGAGACCCCTTCACCGCTGGTTCCGTCCAGCCCAGAGACCCCTTCACCGCTGGTTCCGTCCAGCCCAGAGACCCCTTCACCGTTGGTTCCGTCCAGCCCAGAGACCCCTTCACCGCTGGTTCCGTCCAGCCCAGAGACCCCTTCACCGCTGGTTCCGTCCAGCCCAGAGACCCCTTCACCGCTGGTTCCGTCCAGCCCAGAGACCCCTTCACCGCTGGTTCCGTCCAGCCCAGAGACTAGTAATGACTCTGTCACTCTCCCCATTAAATTTTTTGGGGGGGGCCATAGGGCTCCGCCATGGCCGCCCGAAGGGCCTCCATCGCCATGGCCGCCCGAAGGGTCCGCACCGCCATGGCCGCCCGAAGGGTCCGCACCGCCATGGCCGCCCGAAGGGTCCGCACCGCCATGGCCGCCCGAAGGGTCCGCACCGCCATGGCCGCCCGAAGGGTCCGCACCGCCATGGCCGCCCGAAGGGTCCGCACCGCCATGGCCGCCCGAAGGGTCCGCACCGCCATGGCCGCCCGAAGGATCCGCACCGCCATGGCCGCCCGAAGGGTCCTCACCACCATGGCCGCCCGAAGGGTCCTCATATCCACCCGAAGGGGCTTCTCCGCCGTGGCCACCCGAAGGGGCTTCACCGCTGTGGCCACCCGAAGGGGCTTCACCGCCGTGGCCACCCGAAGGGGCTTCACCGCCGTGGCCGCCCGAGGGTTCGTCTCCGCCGTGGCCGCCCGAGGGTTCGTCTCCGCCGTGGCCGCCCGAGGGTTCGTCTCCGCCGTGGCCGCCCGAGGGTTCGTCTCCGCCGTGGCCGCCCGAGGGTTCGTCTCCGCCGTGGCCGCCCGAGGGTTCGTCTCCGCCGTGGTCGCCTGAAGAGTCCTCACCGCCCTGGACGCCCGAGGGTCCAACAGCTCCGCCCTGGACGCCCGAGGGTCCAACAGCTCCGCCCTGGACGCCCGAGGGGTCGTCTGCTCCGCCCTGGCCATGCCCACGTCCTGCTCTGCCCTGGCCATGCCCACGTCCTGCTCCGCCATGGCCGCCTGGACCATCCTGGAGTCTGTCCAGCTGCACCCGGTCCGCCTTCCCGTCACAGACTCCAGGATGCCCACCCTCCCACCCCTGTTCTACGGCGTGAGGTCACGCCTACCGGGAGGGGGGAGTAATGTCACAGTCCTCGTCTGCACCAGTCTGTCTTTGTGTCTGCACTACACTTCCCAGAATCCTCCTCGTCTCCACACCTGTATTCACTCCCTCACTTACCAGCCTGTCCCTCGTTATCATCATCAGTGTCACCTGTTTTCACCTTGTTATGTTTGATTCATGCTTGTATTTAGTTTGCTTCTGTTCAGTCTGTCCTTGTCGGTCGTTGTAGATGTTTTGGTGTTGCGTGAGTTATACTGCCTGTTTGTACCTGCCTGAAGTTTTATTTGTTAGTAAAAGTATTTGCATTGGAGCTCTTGCCTTTTGTCTTCTTCTGCCTGCTCCGCACCGTGACAATACCACTAACAAGGCTCAAAATAGCCCCACACTAACACCAAACGGCGTTCGTGGTTCGACTTGTCAAGACTGTTTTCCCAAGATGGCTCCTGCCTGTATACGCGAAGTGAACTGTCTTTATAAAATATCTTCTTATTAAACTGTCTGTACACTTACAAAGTTCTCAATGCTTCGTTTTGGATGTAGGGACCCTCATTATGTTACTGTGGGGCTATTTTTAGCCTTGTTAGTATTATTAACCAGCGATTTCTTTTTACTTAGTATATGCCCCCATATGTATATGTAGTATACATATGTAGTATATGCCCCAACGGCGCGTTATACACTAAACAGTTTTTAGAGATAAAACTCTTTACATTCGATTATCATGAAAACAAATCTCAGAGAACGGTCGACTAGGTACCAATATGTTATTAGACCAACGGTTCATTTTGCGCCGGAGTTGTCCTTTAAGAACTAATCATTTAAAGGGGAAATGAAGCAGTCAATCAAGTTTACATGATTTACAAGATGGATTTCCACTATAATCAACAATTATATAAGAAACATGCCAAATGTAAACATATAAAAGAATTTTTTTTAAATCTTTCGCCGCCAGGGCGCCACCATTGTGCAGTATTCTAACATGTGACGTCACGGGGTTGGTTGGCTTTAGTTAACAGGCTCTGGGCAGTGAATATCCCGACATCAAACTGTTTACACCACAGTGTTTTGACCGCGAACGACTAATGTTAGGTACAGTCATTAGACAAAAAGACGACGTCTAATGTTATATTTTAACAAACTGCACATAGAAACATTGTTCACGATGTCTGCCATCATATTCCCGTCTCGTCAACACCATGTAAGTTACGTTGCTATGTAGAACAGCCGGTGGTGGTTTGGGGCGAAGAGCGGGTTTGCAACGCTACCTGGTGTCAGTGTGGCTGTTGTACTGCGATGCCCACCGTGTCAGTCCATCTGCTTTCAAGAGGTTGATCTTGACCATGTATTGCGTGGTCAATTCTGCATCACCGGCGCGCACATTTACCATGCTGTGCCGGGAGGTAACTTAGACGTGTTGGAAGCGGCGATGCTTTCCCTGAAGGATGTCAGAGTGGAGGCACTTTTTCCTAGTATGTGTAGCTACTACCAGTGCGAAAACATGGACGTTTCATTTCCCCTTTAACAAATATATGCTAACTTACATGGTGTTGACGAGACGGGAATATGATGGCAGACATCGTGAACAATGTTTCTATGTGTAGTTTGACAACATATAACATTAGACATCGTCTTTTTGTCTAATGATTGTACCTAACATCAGTCGTTCGCGGTCAAAACACTGTGGTGTAAACAGTTTGATGTCGGGATATTCACTGCCCAGAGCCTGTTAACTAAAGCCAACCAACCCCGTGACGTCACATGCTAGAATACTGCACAATGGCGGCGCCCTGGCGGCGAAAGATTTAAAGTTTTTTCTTTTTTTCTTTTATATGTTTACATTTGTCATGATTCTTATATAATTGTTGATTTATAGTGGAAATCCATCTTGTAAATCATGTAAACTTGATTGACTGCTTCATTTCCCCTTTAAACTTCATCTGATTCATAGGTGTGATTGGCAAAGGACAAAAAGCTGGAAATTATAAGGCGTACATATCATGACGCGGCCACAGCACGTGATTATCTCGGTAGTTAGGACATCGCACAAGATTTGTCAACACAGAAAACATTTCATCGTTTTTATTTTTAAAAAATGTATTCATTTAGCTGACACTTTTATCCAAAGCGACTTATAGCAATTGTATGTCAGAGGTCGCAAGCCCCTGGAGCAACTAGGGGGCACATTGCTCAGCTTGATCAGGGACACATTGGTGTCTCACAGTGGATTCAAACCTGGGTCTCTCACACCAAAGGCATGTGTCTTATCCACTGCACCATCACCACCCTTAATCAAATGTAAAATATCATCACTGGATAGGTTTTGTTTGTTTATTTAAAGTGTGGTTTATGTCATCTGAATGTGCGGAACGCTTTTCAGAGAAGATAAGGCAACGTTATTTTAGTACAATTCACACCCAGCGGTAATTTAGGGAAAAACAATCTCTGAATCCCTCATGTGAAACTTCGGTCTTCGACCTATCATCGTGTCAATTCTCAATTGATAATCTATCTATGATAAACTATGCCGCGTTAGTTAAGTTTACATTTGATTACTTTACTAGAATTCTATTTAGACCATACCTGAACAGTAGTAAACCTTCCTGAAATTAAAGCACTGTGTAGGCCTATATAATGTGTTTCATATATAGGTACCGACAAGAATACCGTAAAAGTACCGGATCGATAAGCAGTATCGGTAAGAGTAGTAAAACCATTACAACCTTAACGATTTAGATGTTCCAATTCGATTTCGATTTGCAAGCTTTTGCTTCTCGATTTTAAATTAATAAAAAGAAATATAGAGCCACAAACCTGTATATTAAACTTGATTTTAGGTACACTTGGGTACATTAAAACAGAACCCAACTCTATATTTCAAATGAATAGGCAGGATTTTTATGCAAGTAAGAACAGTGGCTTGTCTTGATCAAACATGATCAGGTTATTTTATGTTTAAGATTAAGCATAAAATCTCACAGCATTAGCATGAAGACTTCGAAGAAATCTACCCATTTATATTATTTATTTTGGCTATATGGTGTTTTATGAAAAAATATTGCTCTCTCTCACTCCCTCACGCATAATAATTAAAATCAATTGAGAATTGACACGATGGTAAAAGATCGGAAGACCGAAGTTTATGTCGAGCATTCAGAGATTTTTTTTTTGTTTTTCCTGAATTACCACTGGGTGTGAATTGTGCTATAAAAAAAACGTGCTATTGTGCTATATATTTTTTTTTTTAGCTGATGCGGAACAATTTTCACTTTCAATAAACAAAAAAAACTATCCAGTGATGAAATGTTTCCTGTGTTGCAAAAATCTGCAATGTCCTAAACTCCCAGGATAATAAAACGCGTACCGAGTCTGCTAATGATGCGTCCGATTCTCGAACTAATTACTCCTTTGAACCGAATACATTTAATGAATGGTTAAAATAACTGATCTGTCACGAGACGTCTGCATCGGTGTATAACAAATTGGTAACACTTTACAATATGGTTCCATTTATTAAACTCTAGTTAACTACATTAGTTAACATTAACTATTAATAAACTGCACTTCTACAGCATTTATTAATCTTTCTAAATGTTGAAGGGTTAGGTCACCCAAAAATGAAAATTAAGTCATTAATTACTCACCCCCATGCTGTACCAACCCTGTAAGACCTTCGTTCGTCTTCGGAACAGAAATGAAGATATTTTTTGATTAAATGTGACAGCTGCATCACTCCTCCATAGGCTCCCTAAGGGAATGAATCCTGACGGCCCAGAAAGTCAATGAAGAAAATGTTTAAATATTCCATGTCACAACAGTGGCTCAATTATAAGTTTATCAAGCGACAAGAATACTTTTTGTGCGAAAAAACAAACAAAAATAACGACTTTATTCGACTATTCCTTTTCTTCCTTGTAGGCCTGAAACGAGACTTCAAGAGATTTCCACGACGCGCACGCGCGAGAACTTAACTGAAGTAGTTGAAGGAGATCGCAATTCTCGCGCATGCGTTGTGGAAATCTCTTGAAGTCTCGTTTCAGGCCTGTTTCAGGCCTGATAAACTTATAGTTGAGCCACTGTTGTGACATGGAATATTTAAACATTTTCTTCATTGACTTTCTGGGCCGTCAGGTTTCAATCCCTTAGGCAGCCTATGGAGGAGTGATGCAGCTGTCACATTTAATCAAAAATATCTTCATTTGTATTCCGAAGATGAACGAAGGTCTTATGGGGTTGGTACAGCATGGGGGTGAGTAATTAATGACTTAATTTTCATTTTTGGGTGAACTAACCCTTTAATTTCTCCATTTACTAGTAGCCTAAATTATTTAAATAAGTTGTATTTGTTAAAAGAACACTCCACTTTTTTTTCTTTTTTTTTTTTAAATTGGCTCATTTTACAACTATCCCAGAGTTAAACAGTTGAGTTTTACCGTTTTCGAAACCATTCAGTCGATTTAATGTGTTTTCTTCTTTAATTTCAGGGCTCCAAATAGGATTCTATGTCTCCAAGGTCAAGGCATGCAAGAGGCCATAGACCTTTGTCAAGTGCCAGGGGAAGTTTATTTTCCTTTCTGTTTTAAATGTTCATGCAAATGTTAAATATTTATTTTTTAATGTTCAATGTTTTATTTTATTTCAATATTGCCATAGTGTCATTTATTGCTCTTTAGAATGGGGTAATCAGTTATTTGCACAACTTCAAAGTAGTAAATTTTTTTTACTGTATTGTATCAATTTGCATTATTGTTCCATTATAGCAACTAGTCATACGGAGCTAGTGAATGAACTAGTAACAGTTTGCTTTGTAACTTTACAAATCTTGTAATGAAATAGGCTCGTTGTATCAATTTGTATTATTGTTCCGTCATAGCAACCAGTCATGCAGAACTATTGAATGAACTAATAACAATTTGCTCTGTAACTTTACAAAAACTCGTTTTATAAAATTTTCTTCAGTCGTAAATTAAAGGAACACGCCAACTTGTTGGGATTTTAGCGTATTCACCGTATCCCCCAGAGTTAGATAAGTCCATACATACCCTTTTCATCTCCGTGCGTGGCGTAACTCTGTCTGACACACCCACCGCTAGCCTAGCTTAGCAGAAAGACTGGGTCTAAATGGCTCCAGCTAGCATACTTATCCCAATAAGTGACAAAATAACGCAAACATTTTCCTATTTACATGTTGTGATTTGAATAGTCACAGAGTGTACAAAAAAACAAGGTCATATGAGACAGCCATCTTTTAATTGTATAAATATTGGGAACTATATTTTCAGAAGGTGAAGCACTGCTACTTGGGCGGAGTGATTACTGCAGCACCCGAGACGCGCCGTGGAGAGGAGCAGAGAGTTCGTTCAGAGTTGGAGTAATAGAATCAGCAATTACTAGATAGTGAAAGCATAGTTTACAATCATGGGTGTTCGCTGTATTGTAAAGAGCTGTGACAATAAATGGGAGACCAGGTAATGCCATGATGTTTCATAGAATTCCAAACAAAAATGCATCCTGACTAATAAATATCACAGGTCAGCGTTTTTGGTTGGAATTCTATGAAACATCATGGCATTACCTGGTCTCCCATTTATTGTCACAGCTCTTTACAATACAGCGAACACCCATGATTGTAAACTATGCTTTCACTATCTAGTAATTGCTGATTCTATTACTCCAACTCTGAACGAACTCTCTGCTCCTCTCCACGGCGCGTCTCGGGTGCTGCAGTAATCACTCCGCCCAAGTAGCAGTGCTTCGCCTTCTGAAAATATAGTTCCCAATATTTATACGGTTAAAAGATGGCTGTGTCTCATATGACCTTGTTTTTTGTACACTCTCATTTATACAAATCCCAACATAAATAGGAAAATGTTTGCATTATTTTGTCACTTATTGGGATTAGTATGCTAGCTAGAGCCATTTACATCCAGTCTTTGTGCTAAGCGAGGGTAGCGGTGGGTGTGTCAGACAGATTACAGCATGCATGGAGATGAAAAAGGTATGTAAGGACTTATCTAACTCTGGGGGATACGGTGAAAAAGCTTAAGTCCCAAAAAGTCGGTATGTTCCTTTAAATTTAGCAACAGTAGAATAAGCATGATAATAGACTTCACGCCATTAGACTATCTAAAGTTAACACTCCGCTGGGCGTTGTGGCCACATTACTTGCATAGAACGTGCATTAACTTTGGATGGTATAATGGCATGTTGTCCAATGTCCATTATCCCTTTGTTGTACCTGTTTTGTCATTTCTGTTCACCAAATCTTTTTAAATAAATAACTGTTAACAATTTTCTTATTGTCTGCAGTTTATTGCAATGTTTTAGGAAAATGGGTGTTTCTTTTAATGATGGCTAATATTAAATTACAGTGATACAGTATTTAAATTGTACAGTGAGAAACTGAATTTACAGTGCTTAACCGTTATCTACTGTTTATAGTACTGTTGCATACAATACATAAAAAACAGTGCTTAACGTTTTTTTTGTATGTAAATTAAATTGAAATCAGTTTTTTCTTCTACAGTAAAACAATCAATGCTGTAAATACAACTAAAATCACAGTATTTCATTGTTTTTGATTTCACAGTGTTTACATAAAATACTGTAAATGAAAGTACATTACCCTTACTGTAAAACGTATTCACAGTAACTTACTGGCAACAATTAGCCAGTAAGTTACTGTGAATACAACAAAAATCACAGTATTTAATTGTTTTTGATTTCACAGTAAAAACATAAAATACTGTAAATGGAAGTACAGTACCCTTACTGTAAAAAGTATTCACAGTAACTTACTGGCTAATTGTTGCCAGTAAGTTACTGTAAATTTTACAGTAAATTTTTTACAGTGTAAGCACTATCACTGCCAAGTGTCAGATGAACAGATGATCCTATCACACAATGTCCTCATTTACTATGTGTGTGTGTGTGTGTGTGTGTGTGTAGAGAGAGAGAGAGTAGGCCTACATTAGATCTTATTAAATCATATGCTCATTTTATATTTTATTGTCACACTTTAATGGGTAAAATAATTTATTTATTAATGGACAAATCAAACACAAACGTGTAAGGCTTTTTATTTGTACACATACCATGAAATTATGGAGTGTGTTGTGGTTGCTTCATCTGACAGAGCTTTTAACACAGGCTTCTGGCTGCTTTATTTTAAATAAGCACCAGATGGCGCTGTTCTCGACACTCTCGAAGCTTTGAATCTTTTCCCGGAACAGTCAGGGGAAAGTCTCATTGATTCACGAGGCTTCATTTCCCCATCCCTAACAGACACAGCAAACCTTCTTGCCACAGCTCACATTGATGTGCCATCCTGGATGTGCTGCACTACCTGAGACACTTGTGTGGGTTGTAGACTCCGTCTCATGCTACCACTAGAGTGAAAGCACCGCCAGCATTCAAAAGTGACCAAAACATCAGCCAGGAAGCATAGGAACTGAGAAGTGGTCTGTGGTCACCACCTGCAGAACCACTCCTTTATTGGGGGTGTCTTGCTAATTGCCTATAATTTCCACCTGTTGTCTATTCCATTTGCACAACAGCATGTGAAATTGATTGTCAATCAGTGTTGCTTCCAAAGTGGACAGTTTGATTTCACAGAAGTGTGATTGACTTGGAGTTACGTAGTGGGTTAATTTGCAGGGTTGTAATAAGAGTCATTGCACACGAGCAATTTTAAATGACTGTTGGGAATATAAAAAGAATAATGGGAATAGTTTTGGATGGAAGTATAAACAAGGGTTAAGGAATGTGGTCTGGAAAATGTAGTTATTTGTCCCAATATGCCATTAAAAGGGGTATCAATGTGGAATATTCCTGAACCTAATGTTGAAATGAGACTGATGGAGGATCGGGAGAAAGCAGAAGGAAGATAAACTAATAGTTATGAAATCAATGGTTTTATGAGAGAAATTTTTTATTCTTGTATACAGATCTATACAGATGGATCTAAAGACCCAGTCGAACAAAAAGTGGGAGTAGGACTATATATTCCAAAATTTGAGACTAAAATAAGTTTAAGGTTGAGTGACAAAATGTCTGTATATTCAACAGAACTAACTGCTATAATAGTAGGTTTGCAGTGGTTAGAGCAGACTAAGCCAAATAGGATGGCGACTGTAATTTGCTCAGATTCTGCATCAGCACTTAAAAGTATATTGTCAACAAAAACTGACAGAGAAGACCAGATAGTAGAAATGTATACATTATTATATAGGCTGAACATAGAGGGTATAATTGTATACTTTTGTTGGGTGCCGGCACATATTGGGATAGTAGGAAACGAAATAGTGGATAAATTAGCAAAAGAAGCATTAAGGAAAGACTTGGTAGATATTAAGATACCTTCAGGAAGAAATTAAGTTAGATCAATAATTAATAGAGAAATAATAAGAATATGGCAACAAAGATGGGAAAGTAGCAGTACAGGTAGGTGGTATAGTATTGTAAAATCAGTATGGAAAAATGAATCGTGCTATGGAAGACATAGAAAGGAAGAAGTAATGATTTCTAGACTAAGGATGGTTCATACAGGGTTAAAATCAACACTGGCATTAATGGGAAAGCATGGAAATGGTATGTGTGATGAATGTGGTGTTATTGAAACAGTAGAACGTGTTTTTAAGTGTAGTAAATATGAAGAACAGCGTAGGGGTCTTTTTTAGTAATATAAAGAACAGGCCAGTGAGTATCATGGACCTATTGGGAAAGGGTTTGAGTGATTGACAGAGGTTTAAGGACGTGATAACATTTTTAGAGCTTACAGGGCTAGATCACAGGATCTAGAGCCTGAGGAGGAAGAGCAAGTAGCTCTGATCATCCTGGAGGCTGAGGAGCTCAGTGTGGAAGCTGGAGGAGCTGAACACGCAGCGTCAGTTGATGCACGGGCTCTGATCCTCTGGGATGGTACTTTTTTTTCTTTTTTTTCTAATCAGATCCATTACTCATGTGCGCAAGGTATACAGTAGGTGGCGGTAATACTCCAAAGGAGTGAACGGCCATGAAACGTGGCCGGAGCTGGTTTACTGCGTACCTATTCAGAGGCTTCGTCCTGAATGGCCAGATTGCACTTTAAACTGTTCAAGTATTGGGTGTTAACTTACGTAAATAATGTAATGAAATATATAAAAAAAAAAAAAAAAACATACATAGGCACATATATAGCCTATATATATTCAAATGTTCATTTATATCGTACCTTGATGCGATTTTGTAGGCTAGTGTATTCTTTTTATTGTGTACAGAAATGGACCATGGTGAATATATTTATACAGGTTGTCAACCCTATTTGAATATTTAAAACCAGTTGAATATAAAAAGTCCAGTGCAAACGTAACGTTACTCCCGCTCGTCATCGGCAGCTGTCAGTCACAGTTGCTAGGCGACAAGAACAATTCTCCGTAGACCGGTCCGAGCGCTTCAGATGCGCAGCTGTAGTTAGCAACAATTTGATAAAATGAAGCCACGCAATGGTGACGAATGAGTTAAGATGAATAAGAAAAAAAAAACTTGTGGCTTTTAACTCTGGTTTCTCTAGCTATTTGAGTAAATGAAAACATAATACTTTTACATTTAAATGTGAATTTGCCGTCCACCACCGAACTCTCGGCCGCCCTTTAAAAAAAAAAAAAAATGCTGTCGTCACCAGCGCAATGACTTATGGGGTAAGATAGGCCGCTTAGGATCAGCTTAGGATCCATTTATGTATCCTCTCTTTCACGGGGAAACGAAGGGTGCATTTGGCGTCGCTTTTGAATCAGGGAAGCCTTCATCACGCCGCAATGACGCAACCGGCCTTCGAATACGGCCTTCGGAGGATGCAGCCTTCACATTGGGACACAGCTATTGTGTTGTTTAAAGGGACACTTCACCCATTTGCATTAAGCTTTGTATTGTTAGAAACCAAGTCATATATTATAATGATCGTGGATTTTTCCTTTATTTTTCCCTGAGATGGGAGAAATAAGGATTTAAGTGTTTTACTTCCTGCTTATTATGACGTAAAAATCGTAATT